GCATATGTCTGTGTCTTTAAGAGTATCGCCTATTTTTCTCCCAGTATGTTTCTATTTTAATATTTATACGTTTGATACATTTTGATTTTAATTTAGTACATAGTGGGAGATACAGGTCTAGACTGAATGTTCTCCATCCATGTGAGTATACACTTCCCAGCACCCTCTATTGAAAAGATTAACCTTCCACCTGTGTGTGCCTTTGGCCCTTTGTCAAATATCAAGTTGTTCAGTATGCCTAGAGTTGTTTTCATTTCCTCTACTTTATTTAACTTATCCAAATGCCTGTTTTTATATCAGTATCGCACGTGTTTTATCATTGTAGCTTTAATATAACTTCAAATCTGGGATCATGATGACTTTCTTTTTAAATCCAGGTTTGTTTTGCTATTCTAGGTTTCTTCTGGTTCCACATGAATTTTAGAATCGTTTTCTCCAGATCTGTGAGTAATGCTGTTAGTATTACTGAAATTGTGTTAAATTTGTATATCAGTTTTGGAACTAAAATCATTTTAAATACTTTGATTCTGCCTATCCAGTAATCAGATATCTTTCAATTTTTTGATGTTCTCTTTGATCTCCTTTTTCAAAGTGATGCAGTTTTCATTATAGAATCCTTCCAATTTCTTGGTTAGGTTAACTCCTAAGTATTCATTTTTTGGTACTTTTGAGAATGGCATTTTTTTCCTAATTTTTTTGTTAGTAAGTTGATGATTAGTGTTGGGGAATGCTAAGGCCTTTTCTGTGTTAATTGTGTACTGGTCCATTGCTAAATTTGGGTATCAATTGGAGGAGACTTTTGCTGGAATTTTGGGGCTTCTAAGTAGAAGATCATGTCATGTGCAAATGATGATAACTTGATTTCTTTTGTTCCTATAAGGATCCCTTGTAATTTTTTTTTCTCTTGCGTGATGACTCTGGTTAATGGTTCAATGACTATGTTGAACAAGAGTGGTAATAGTGGATTATTTTGTCTCTCTCCTGGTTTTAGAGGGAAATATTTCAGTATTTCCCCATTTTATGATGTTGCCAGTAGGGTTTTCATAAATAGATTTTATAATCATTACAAGGTATTTTACACCTATATTATTCATGGTTTTTATCATGAAAAGATGTTGGATTTTGTTAAAGACTTTTTCTGTGTCTATTGAGATGATTTGGGAATTTTTGTCCTTGTTAATGTTATTCATTACATTTATTTGATTTGTATATGTTGAACCTTCCTGAAGACCTGGAATGAAACCTACTTGGTCATGGTATATGATTGTTTTGATGACTCACTGAATTCTTCTTAATAGTATGTTATTGAGGATTTTGTGTCATATTTTTGCTTCTATTTCTATTTGAGGTGATCCAGAAGTTGAATGGTGCTAAAGCCTGAAAAATATACCAAAACAAGTTTCAGAACTGCTTCTGAAAATGGTATGAATGATAAGATAATTGTGTTCTATGTGACGAGAATGACTTTTATAGAGACTGATATCAATGTGTCTTTTACTTTGACAAAATTTTAATTTAAATATTTGTCATTTTTTTCTATCAGATACTGTACATAATGGTTTAAAAATAGAAGTTATCTGTCCTTCTTGTGAAACCTAAATGAGGGTTTTTGTTTGGTGTGTAGTTCTCATCCAATTAGTTATGCAGGGATTCAGTCATTTCTTATGTATCTGCCACTTATTGTGCAAGTATTCAAGGTTACTCTGTTGGAAATGTAAAAGAAATTCTATATTGTTGTTATGGTTTATGTCTTGGTATCCTCCCCAGCCTCGTGCAGTCATGAAAGAAGCTAAATCTAGTGCTTGTGATTGGCTCATTGTCTAGTACTGGGATTGGTAGTGCCAGTGCTGTACCCACCAAGGGATGCGTAGCTGGCATACAATATAACAGAGGAAAGGAGTCAGGCTTTTCCTTTTTTTGTGCTTTTGCTCTTGCTGCTTGTGGCCACCATGAATGGTAGCCCCTCAGCCATGTTACTCTGCCTTGGAGCCAGCTGAGTTTGAACTGAAACCTCCAAAACCGCAAGCTAAATATATCTTTGCTTGCTTCACTTTGGGCATCAGATATTTTGTCTAAACAATGAGGGAAAAGTAACCAAGACAAATGTCTATTGGTATTGTTCACCACTTCTAGTCATATTCCTTTGATTAGAACTTGTGCTTTGATTACATTTATTACAAAAAGGTATGAGAAATACTCTTGGTTTACAGAAAAGAGAGAAAACGAATTTGACCAGCTGGTACACTGTCTCTACCACATAAAAACTTCTCTTATGACAAACTCTTTTTTTCTTTGGCCTACATCCTTACTTTTTATATCCTCTAATTAAAATGAAGATTTTAGGCTAGTTCTTATCTGTGGATGACCTGAGAAAAATTTAACATTTATGATAAGACAGAACGTGCCAAGAATAACTAATTAATGTCCCCTGAACACTCACATATAAAGTAATAAGAGATTTTCAAACTAGAACTTGATTTTAATCTCAAATTATCAAGTAGAGCTTTCATCGATTGAAGGATTTATAAAGGAGTTCTGTCTACTACTAAGTTCTATTTATTAGCTGCTAAGTGGTCATGCATGATTTTTCCTGAACCTAGAGACTTTCAGAAGGATAGCCAACTTCAAAAAGGCAAACTTCCCTCATTCATCTTTTGCTTTTTCCTTCTTTAAAATTACATATATTGGCCTGGAAATATAGCTCGGTGACACAGCACCTGCCTGACAAGCACAAGGTCATGATTTCAATTTCTAGTTTTTAAAAAACAATATAACTTTCAAAGTTTTGAATTTTATAGATTAATCCATGTAGTATATTTTAGCATTACTGTTTTTCTGACAAAAAATTACAATTAACTTTATCTCTACATTCATCTACTTACTATATATATATATATGTATATTTAAAATCCAACTGTGGTGGGAGTTCACTCTGAACAATTCTTTCTTTCCTTCTTGCTCTTTGTGTGTGTGTGTGTGTGTTGTTGTTGTTGTTGTTGTTGTTGTTGTTGTTGGGAATAGAACTCAAAACTTTGTGCTTGCCAGGCAGGTTCTATAGCACTGTGTTATTTCCCCAGCTAATTGTTTCAGTAATCAAATAGTTTTTTTGAGTGTAGGGGAGATACATATAGATTGCAGTTTCTCATACTTTTTGGAGGACAATTGTGATAGTTAACTGTTGTGTCAATTTGAGTAAGAAATGCTCGGCTGATTGGGTTAGGACCTTTCTGTGTATGTCTGAAGGGATTTATTGTAGGCAGAAACCCACTATGAGTATGACTGACAGTAAATAACAGGCTTGTTTGCCTGAATGGAATAAAAGAAAAATAAGAAGGGAAGCTCATTTTTGTTTCTTCCATTTAAAGTGTCTTCAATGATACGTTGTAGTCAAGATTTTAAAAACTTCAATTTTATTATACGAGAAAAATACATTATTCAATTTATTTTCACTCAGATTTTTTGTGATAATAAATGAAATTTATATTCTAAGAACATAGAATCTCCATACTAAAGTTAATAGTACTGTCTAAATTTCTTTAAAAATGCATCCCCATGAAGTACCACTTCTATTTAGCACTTTAAGTTTGAAGATTTGGAGAACATAAGAAAGCACATGTATTATTAGTATCATTGAGAAAAGATTTTTGAGTGGTCTCATTTCAACAGGATGACAACTTGCAAGGAATGATTTGTCATAATAGGATGATGTTTAAAATATCAGTTCGGCAATATGCATTTGTGAATAGTGTTCTCAGTTAAAACATATTATAATTTTAGTAGAATTAGAATTATACAGACATAACATTATGTATTTTGAATGTGAATAAAACATGTTTTTGCATCTTCATTTATTTCAATTTAGGAGAAGATTTAGATACTGTCCCTGAGGTTGGGAATGTTCATCTGTATAAAAAGTAACAATTTCTATGTGATTCTACCATTCAATTTCATTGTCTAAAATTTTTGAATGAAAAACAATTGTATTATTGTTACAGATATCTAAATCTACAACTTGATTTACCTTGAAAGGTGCAGATTATTACAGGATTGAACTGATATAACTATCAATAAAACTTTCCTTTATTCTCAAGAAGAACAATTGTGAATGTTTTAGATTTAATATTGAATGGTGCAGTATTTAGCTAACTTAATGCTTAAAAAGTCAAATTTAAAGGCTACAAATAGTATAATTTATGAACAATATATGTTATTGAAATTTATTAAAATATACTGTCTTTTTATAGATAAGCATTTAAAATATTAATACAACTTACCTTCATGATATTTATATCATATAATTTTATCTGTATTATATCTTTTTTACACAGATGCTATGGCTACACAATTAGCAAATAATGGACCAAATGTTCAAATTCATTCTGTTATTACCAGATGGTATGTAGAATTTAGTAATTTATGAACTAGCTTTCCTAATTGAATTCAATTAATATTTTTAATCTAATATTTAATAAATATGTAGCATTCTCATGATAAAAACACTAAATTTTAAAATATTATTGTTTAGATCTTTCTATTAAGAAAAAAATTCTCATTTTTTCATTATCATATTGAATATTTATACCAAAGTGGATTTTAAACTGTTTATTTTATTTTAAACATATATGATTTTTCTGTATGAAAATGACCTACTTTTGAATTCTAGAAAATTACTATTTTTTAAAAGTTTTCTTTAGATTCTCTGTTCTTTTCTTTTGAAAAATCAGTTATTGTCTATCTTACAGTTTTTTTGTCTATTTTTCAACTTCAATTTCATTATATTCTTTATTGTTAGTTATTATTTTGTAATTCTGCAATTAACTTTCTTTTTAGTGAGTAATCAATCTATTTTATTTTATTTCAATTTTGGTACCAGATTTTCTTTTTTTAAGTTTTTTATTTATTTTTTTTATTGGTGCCAGGTATCGAACTCATGGCTGCCTACTTGCAAGGCAGGCGCTTATGCCACTGAGCTAAATCATGAGCCCAAAACTCTGATGCACTGCCCCCTCTGAAGCTTGAACTCAGAACCTTCAGATTATGAGACTGATGTGCTGCCTACTACACTAAGAAGGCGGCTTGGTACCAGATTTTCAACCCTGAGCCTTGTTGTCAGGGTTGCTGTATGCTGAGCTGTGTCTCCAGTCCCATTATGTTTTATACCTTCTGTGTTCTCAAACAACATTAACTTTTTTATGTATATTACCGTTTCTTTGATCTCATTGAATCTGTTATTAGTTTAGGTGTCTGGTTATGTACTTTGTGTGTACTCTGTGTTCTTCAGTGACTTTTGGCTCTAAATTGTTTCATTTTTGGCTCTAACTTATTTTGCTAATAGCTTACCAATGAAAAAGAATTTAGCTGAACATTTACAACTTGATTTAAATATTTGACTTGGGAGGGACATATTTAACCTAAAACACAATTTTTCAATTTTATACAATCCCTGGGCTTAAAACTTTATCCAAGAAAGCTCCATGGAAGTTTATATTCTCTTTTGAATCTATCTCCAAATTTCGTGTCAAATTGTATAAAGACTTTAAAAAAATTTTTCTCCATACAGTTTATGATTGATATTGTGAATGCTCACTTATATCCAATTTTTCTTTCTTTTTGGACTAGTTCTAGGCTACAGATTGTGGGATGGAGTAAAAGATGTCACATCTTATGCACCCAAAGCACATGAAACCAATGTGGTATCTCCAAAAAATGTATTTGCTCCACAGTAGCAACTGAAGAATCTACGCATTTTACATTGTGGAGCTGTACATTGTGGAGCATGTCTTAGTTTCTATCTCTGAGTGACAGATTGGGTTAGATACTGTGAGTGATAAACAAGTCTTTGTTGGACTAATACACTGGGATGCCCTTTGGGTTAAAAGCTATGTTTATCTGGGGACAGTGCTATGGTTGAAATATACTGTGTTGCTCAGGTGGACTGTTGGCAAGAGAATGACAGAAAAAAAATGTGTATGGTGAAGGGAAAGGATAAGGATATAAACACATGCCAGTGCTTTCTGGAGGCTGTTTATCTCACTGGAGAAGTTGTCAGGAAAATATGAATAACAGATCTAGTGCTCTTACTTTCAGAGGCTTCAATTTAGGTCTAAGTTTACAAATGTTAAATGCCCACTGACTGATGACTGGGAAACTTTTCAACTAGGAGCAATGCACGATGCATGTTTGGTAGATGAAATGTAGGACTGTGTCAGTTTTCAGTTGCTGGGATCTACAAACATACACTATTTAAAGGAGGTAAGCTTTCTTTTCTTTCTTTTTTTGTTTTGCTGTTGTTTCAGAGGGTTCAATCTACGATGAGCAGGCTTCAAGATGGGAGTATCATGGTGGAAGTTGTGATAAAGTAAAATTGATCCTTCCTGGTGTTCAGGAAGCAGAGCAGAGGAATGGTGCTAGGAAGGAAGGGTCTAAGGTCCAGATATAGATCCCCAATTCATGTGTGCATGATCCACCTGAACACATCCAGAAGTGTGCTTTACTAATCACTAGGCTCCCATGTCAATCGAGTTGAAAATCTCAACCATCATACTAATCAAAAAAAAAAAAATGATGAATATTTCCTCTTCAGTGTGTCAAGCTTTTTACTGCCTTGGCATGGTGAAACTGATATTCTGCAGTATCCATTTCCAAGCTAAGTTACTGACAGCATTCAGGCCTTTTTCTGAAAGTTTGCTCTTTGAACTCTAGACCATCACTAACAATTCTCATAATCTGGACAGACAGAAAACTTGGGACGCGTCTGATGTATGACATAAAATGAATAGAGGCTTCACCGAGTCAAGTGCACCAGATACTCCTATCAAAACACCAACTTACTGAGTGTACTAGGTGACTCTTCTCAACACCTTACAAAGACATGAGTTAATACAACAAATTTCTGCTTGAGTTCTGTGCCTTAAAATATCATGAAATATAGTAGAATCATTGTTACTTAAACAATTAAATGGTGAAGTAACGTTTCTTAGATACCACAGTTTACAATGATCTATTACATATTTGACAAAGAGAGAAGGGTCCCGAAGTTCCCAGCAGGAAGAAATAATAAATACATTTTTGTCCTTGTATTTTCTTGGTACACTTTAGATATACACAGTGATAACATTCATCAGAGGGAAATTGTTCCTGTATATGGTGTATCTGACTTCTTTCCTTCCCATCCCCCCCCCGCTTCATCACCGCATCCCCTCTTTATTTACAAAAGCTTCGCTTCCATTTTTTTCATTCTTTTTTTCTGTCCCTCCCATTTGCTCATTCCTCTTCTCATTTGAATAAAATTGGTAACTGAAAGGCAAGATTTATGGAGGGAAGACATTCAGGGCCTACAGATAAGAGTACAAAGTTAGAAAAAGTAGTTTGAATTGTTAAGATGGAATACAGCTCATAATACATGAAAGAGTTCTCAGTAAAGTAAGATTACTGGGTCAGCTTGGATGGTAAATCACAGACATTTTAATTAAGAACTAGCAATCAAAAGTGAAGCGATAAAAATGACTGGATGCAATGACTGCATCCAAAATATGGAACAGAACCACATGGTTATAATAATGGATAAAGTATATTACCTAATTCAAATATTTAAATTTGGTGATTTCATGTATACAGTGATGTTGAAATTATAGTAATTTATACACAGAAGAAGCTGAAAAAAGAGTATTTTAAAAATTATAAAAAGCACTTACTATCAAGCCCTATAAAATGAAAGTCACACATTTAGAGATTTCAACTGTTAGTTCTATGGCACTTTAGTATTTGTAACTGACTCCTTCAAGAAGAATCACATCACAGACTATGATTTTGGTATTGTTGCATCCCAAAGGAGGTTTGGGTTAGAGACACAAATTGCATTCAGGCTGTACGCTTTTGTTCATCCATAATGGTTGTTAAAATACTGGACTATTTCAGTACTTACCCTTGTTTAAATACAGATTTCTCTTTGGCTGACCTCTTTCACTAGGACTTCCTTTTACACAGCAAAATAATTAATTACTGGCACTTTTAAGACACTGTTTTAGCTCTTGTGATTGTCCAGATATTATTCAGGATTCACGTTTGATATTAAATACTTTTATTATCTCCAGAATTCAAGTCTTTGGAAATTGTGGAAATTTTCTTTAATAGGATACTGTTAAACAAGAATGAGTTAGAACTTGTTATTTATGAAATAGATGTAATGGTCAATTTTAAGTCAGTTTCTTTGTCACAGTCACACATCATTTAGGGTTCATATGAGATAGTAAAATTCATATTAGTGATGGATTATATTGTTTTTATATCCAAGTAGAATATTTTCATTTTGCTTATGACTTCTAATTTTAATATTTCTATTATTAATGTATTTTGCTTTCTCTGTCACATTAAATATCTTTTCAGATTGATAGACAAGAAAACATAATAAGTATGATGTAGCCTTTTCTTAAATCTGCCATCCTGGAGTGCTACAATTTAAATTAGTGTTAGAATTCATTGAAAAGATAAAGTTTAACCTTTATTGAATTGTTTGCACATAGAACTTGACTCCTATTAAATGCTGACTAAAAAACTATCACTAAAAACAAATAAAATGTGTGATTAAATTGTGTTTAAAATGTACTTGTAAACAGCTATAAGTAAATCACTGTAACCTATAATAAATGATACTGATTTAAACATAAATTTCCACTTGATTGAAACTAATGACAAAACCGTTGATTTATTGAAAACAGCTTTGTTCCAATACAAAAATACCTAGCAATTTCTTATATTAAATGACAATATGTCAACAAATTAAAGAAAAAAATCTGGTTTCTTAAACGGGAAAAAGTACACTAGTGTTTTTCCAGGTAATCGTTTCATAAAATTGACTTTATCGAAAAATGAATATACCTATTCTTTATTTTGAAAGATTTTTATAGTTGGCTCACATCATCCTTCCCAGTTCTCCTATTTTCGATTATGTTTGTAATGCTGATCTTAAATGAATAATATGTTTTAACCACAGGAGAAGGTTAGAAAGTTATGATATTTTGAACTGAGAATATATTAGGTTTTGCTTCAAAATTTCAGGCAGGGAAAGATGTCAGAAGAGCAAACACTAGAGAAATCTTGCAATAAGAAAAAATCACTAGGAAACTAATCTTTAATAAAGTTCACTGAGGGACTATCCTTCAGGGCCCATTTATTTAAATTCCATAGAAAAAGAAGTCATGACTTTTGCAGGATTGTGACAGTAACCTTTACTCAACAAAGATACAACCATAGAATGCACTGTTGCATTTTATCTGTTTTCCAGTCTGGACTACTAAAACTTTAACTGTGCACTGAAAGGGAGATAAAAAGAATGATCATCGTTCTAAAATCTGTTAAACTTAAGGAAATACAGCTTGTGAATAAATCACTATAGATTAGTAATGTAATAGAATCACAAGTTTTAGAAAAATATTCTTGTTGTTTTCAAGGGTTGTATATTTTCCAAGAATATATACTTTGAAAGAAATATATTTGATAGCTTTCAAGATTGTATATTTTAGAAAATGTCCTCCTTATTTCTGTATTTATTTGCCTCTTAATGAATATTGTGGTCTCTACTTTCAGGATGTACTTCTCACAATTTCAAACTTTTCGGCAAGCAGTCATTCTATTATCTTTAATATTTATTGAACTACATAATGCATATTTGGATACTTAGAAATATTAAATGATATTCTAGGTTTTATAAATGTGTTACTTTTAAAAATACAATATGTCCAGTCTTATAGAAAGTACATGAGAGTATGGAGCATAGACAATACAGAATTAAGCATCATATAGCATATTGATTGTTTTTAAGGACTGTGGAACACATAATCAGGGAATAGAGATAGTGAAAGTTGGATTGCTAGTTGAAATAATGTGCAGTGAAGAAAACTTTGTTCAGAGAAAGTACGAAGCTCACAGAAGAATCCAGGATATATCTGAAGCGAGGATTTGCAGTAGAGGGAGTAGTAGGCACAGCGACCCGGCATAGTGTAGCCTTAGCTGGGTGAAAATATGGCCGCAATGGCACAGAATAAGCAAGGAGATAATCAAAATGCAGTGCAGGA